CCCCCCCCCCATTTAGGGACACATCTCTGCCATAGATGAGGGTGCTGAGGGTCTGGGAGGGGAAGCCAGAGCCAGGAGAGGGCCAAATACTCCCCTGGGTGTCCTTAGTGACTCAGGGAATGGGGAGGAACCGAAAAGTCCACCCCAGACTCAGAGCAGTGCCACCGTGAATTTGCCACCCCAGGGCAGAGAGCTGGGGACGGCTGCTGCTGGGCTTTAGGGGAGGGCATGACTTCCTTGGGATGGGGGGCAGGCACGCTGTAGAAGAATGTGATTCTGGAGGCTGATGTGGGGGACCCGCCTTGCTGGCTCGCTCTGATGTCAGGGAAATGAAGACAAGCGGGGGCTGGGCCTGTCTCCCTGGCTGACCCTGAGGGCAAGGAGCGGGGAGGGGGTGCGGGCCGGAAGGGGAGGCTACCCCTGCCCCACCGGGCTGGTTCCCCAGGAGCTTCAGCTAGTCACTTTTGGAAAGAGCTGAGTTCGAAACCGCCCTTGGACAATCACTTTGCCTCTCTGTGCCTCTGTTTTCTCATTATCAAATGGAGACAATTGTACCAACCTCCCAGGTCTGTCACGAAGACCGAGTGCGATGGTGCCCAGCACAGCGTGTGGCAAAACAGTTGCTGAGGACCTACTGTGTGCTGGGCACTGTGCAAGACTTTGGTGGCGAGGTGGGCACTTAACAAGTGGGTGAGCCTACGAATCGCTGGGGACTTCAGAACACATAGGTGCTTGGCAGGGGGGGCACCTGGGATGATGAGAATTTATAACTGGGGGGATCCGCCCTAGGCTGGAGGTAGTCGGGGAAGGCTTCCTGGAGGAAGCATCTGGGGAACCCAAGAATTGGAGGATGAATGTGGATGAACGCGGAGGAAGAAGGCCGCGGTGCAGCGGCCCCCAGGGAGGACATGCGCAGTAGATACAGCAGTTGCCTCGCCTGAGAGCCAGCCAGCAGGGGTGGGGCCGTGGCCAGAGGGCTCAGAGACCCGAAATCTCCTCTCCCCCAGTCTGAGGTCGGTGGGAGTTCGGCGAGGGCTGGAGGGGGTGGAGGCGCGATTTGACTACGTGGTTTCTCTTTAAATTACGGTGCAATCGGGGCGCCTGGGTGGCGCAGTCGGTTAAGCGTCCGACTTCAGCCAGGTCACGATCTCGCGGTCCGTGAGTTCGAGCCCCGCGTCGG